GGTGCGGGTTATACGCCAATAGACGACATTCACTCGGGCACTTAAGGAGGAAGAAAAGTCGACTTGTCCCTTTCAATCTATTGTTTTTGTAAAATTAGACTTGTAATTAAATTTTGACATGTAATGTATGTAAAAAGATTGGAATTTGAACTTATATTAACTATGTTTGATGCATAGGTGTGATGTGTTATAGGTCACAGTGGTACATGACAATGTTACCCTTTTTCAGGCCATGTTACATGTTTACACGCCATGTTACACTTTTACACGCCAATGTCACACTTTTACAGTTTAATGTCACACTTCATACATTGACATAGGAACCCCGGTTTTAGGGGCGTTAAAAGTATAGATAAATGGACCTGGTGTGGTCATTATTTTATATTGGACATTGGATGAGTCATGTGAATATATAATGCACAAGTTGTGTTTTGGGTAGAGCTCCTCGTACAAAGGAGACTCTGTCCGAATTTTGTTAAATTAGAGATTCCGGTAAATGTGACAGAACGGTGTGATATTGAATTATACGCTATCCACGGGTATTCCGCGGGTTGATGGGCGATCAGCAGACACCTGGATTTTTGGGGTGTCACACTTTGGCTACTGGAACCTTGAAGTGCCGATATGCCAAGGGCTTTGCTTTCTTTTAACGTCTACCCTTAATGAATAATGCTATTCAAATTTAAAAATTTGATCTAATTTTTTGACATAATGATGTGATTTTATTAAAATCATTAGATCAAGAGTAAGTTTCATCTATTTAAGGGCCCCACAATCAATTTAGAATCATAATGAATCAAATCAAAAAATCAAATCAAATTTTTAGATTTAAATAATATTACTGTTGGATTAATAAGATTCTTTCTATTCCCGAGAAAGTCAATGAATATCTATATAATAAAGTACAATTCAATTCAAATTTCAAAATATAAATAAAATGATTTTTGCTTTTCGCGATTGAAATCTCTTTAAATTTTAATTTAAAGTTAATCCGACGGTTAATATTAACACCTCAAATTTAATAGAGAAAATGGGTCTCTAAGGGTGTGTTTGTGACAACTTTTTAAAAGTGCTTATAGAATTTATATAAAATAGTTTTAAGAACTACTCCACTACCACTACTACCCTTACCACCCCACCACCACCACCACCACTAGTATCACCACTCCAATTGCTCCACCATCATCACCTCTTCTACAACAATCACCACCTTCGTCGCCACCACCACCATCCCCACTATCTCCACCCCCTCATTGCCATTACCACTGTTGCCGCCACCCCCCACCACCATCACCATTGCCACCCACAGCTGCCGCTATTACAATCAGGCGTTATCACCCATCACAACCATCACCATCTCTTACAACCACCAGTGCTGTCAACCACCGCTCGCCCCATTACAACTAGTGCTTAAATTTCTTTCCCTCTTCTCTATTTTTATAATTTGATTTTGGATGTGAATACAAATATGTTTATTGTGGACTATTTTTTTTTATTATTTTGTGCCTTCAGTCACGAGAAATAACTAGCATATTTATATTTTACATGTCTTTTCTTACAAGAAAATAGCATATGCATAGCCTAATAAATTCACCATTGTACCAGGTTTTGATAATCTTTTCTTAGAGCATCTCCAACAGATGCTTTAAATGGTCAAAATGACTGAATTTTAGCTAGCCAAAGTCAAAAAGAGTGATCCAACAGAATGTCTTCATATACTGTAATATAGATTTTTGTTACAATAATACTCTGAATATATAGTATCACTGTAGCCAATTGTAAACACAGTATATATTATTTTCTCTCTCTTCGTTGACTTTCCCTCCACTTTGTCTATTTCCCTCCAACAATCCATTTTGTCTATCTCCCTCCTGCACTGTTCTTCGTCTCCTGCACTGTACATTGTATCACGAAGGTTGCTGGAAGATTCAAAATTTCACTGTCTCCTGCACTGCACTGCACTGTTCACTGTTCTTCGTCTTCTTAGTTGTTGAAAAGAACAATAATAAAAAAGAATGAGAAATAATATTTAAAGAAAGTAGTTAAAAATATAGAAAATCTGTTGGAGTGTGTAATAAAAAAGTGAATAGGTAAAATAAAAAATGTTGTTTTTTGAGTAGCTAAAATAGCTATTATTGTTGGAGATGCTCTTAGATGCCAAAGAAAGATGCTAACCTTAAGTAAGTGTATTTATTTGGATTTACGCCATCTCAGAAGTCATAGATTATTTTTTTCCCCATTGATATGCTTTATAATGCATGCAATCTTTGAAAAATAAAGAACGTTTTTTTAATCATTGTGGTAAAAATATTGATGGTGTGTGTATCGCATAATTGAGCAGACTGGTGATAATTAGGGGTATGAGCATTATTGGAAGGTCCAATCAAAACTTCTAGGCTCTTGAGAATTGAACAATGTTGAAATAAAGGGTTGAAGACATAAGACTTATAGTGACTTATGAGCTCGGGAGTTCGGCTAATACACTCTTGAAGAGTCTCTTGCTCTTGAGGGGATTTTCAATTTCTCTAAGGAGGGAAGATTACATAGGGTATTTGCACTGACTATTGTTTGAGTTACATTTTGGGGATATGTCCCTTATTTATAGCCTTCAAAGGCCTTGTCTGATTCCCTAGCTGATCATTATCCTTTCTTCGTAACGAATATGTCTTTTGTGCAATCATCGTGAATAATGCTGAGGCGGTTGCGGCTCGCTTGGTTGAATGTTGGACCGTTGCAATTGATAAGCAGCCTTCTGGAGGGAGGCAACTGTCATTCTCGTTGTTCCCATGAGGGCCTTACTGTCGAAGGTCTCTGACCTTTGTTGCTCATCATAAACTGTGTGATCCGAGTTCAGATACCCAAGTTGAATGTTCGAGGTCAATCTTAACTAATTTTCGGGTATCATCAAATATTATTTTTTAGCACCATAGATCATTTAATTAAGAATTGAAAGAAGAGAGAGGAAAGCGAAAAGATATAGAGTAATTGATAGAAGAGAGAGATTGAGGAAACTCATAAGTATAATAATTAAAATAAAAAGTATTCTTGTGATTAAAAATTTTACAAGTAGCAATTTCAGACCACACACCTTATATATATGTTGTACATACCTGCACTTAAAGCCTTAAAAAATAGGTACTTGTACTTATGGACAAAAAAATAACTAGACTATACTTATTTCAAATTTTCTTTTGTTTTTTTAATCTAATCATTTTATCCAACCCAACTCATAAAATAAGTACACCCTCGTGAAAATATATTTGATTCTTATCCGATTTACTTATAGTGGTTGTGTTGGGTTAAAGTTTTATTTATAGTCGGGTTTTTGTCATGTTAAGCCGCAAAAATTGTTTTATTAAATGGGTTTGATGGCTCAATCCGTTCAAGACTCAACCACGGTAGGCAAAATTGTTGAGTGTCAATTTTGCATCGAGTTCACAAACATATTAAGAATTGTGAACCCGCTAAACTAGCCTCTCGATCGCAAACAAAAAAATTAATTTTAGGAAGCATTGTTTTATACGAGTCAATTAAACTATTTTACAAATGAGCATTCCCAATATCATTGCCCTCTTTATAATTAAAAAGGATTGACTTGATCAAGTCTATGACTAGGAAAAAATATTGCGTGACGTTAGGAGTGTTACGTGATGTAATCGTCTATTAAGAGGTAAACAAGTAGACCCCACTAAACCTCATAACTGTCCAACCATGTAATATATATAACCACCCCTGTATTAAAAAGTGGACTCTATTTTATTCATGGAAAATGTTATATAACTCAAATGAAACTAAAAATTAAAAATTCAAATGCATATTATCTTTTGAATGAGTGTGGGATGAATGAGCCCCACTGAAAAAATTGATGAGACTTACTTATCTAAAAGATGATATGCATTTGAGTTACAACTTTTTGAATTTTATTTAGATTTTGTAGCATTATTTTTTATTCATTTTGCCATTTTCTTATTGGATGGTTGACATGGTGTAGTGGTTACACCCAATATTTACTCTAGGGCCGACATTGGTTGCTCATCAATTATGTGGGTTTCTAAGATGCATTTTGGTGTCAAAATTCAATTATTTGTATTATATTCTAATCAGTCTATACAATTATTCGACGAGGAAGTGCTTAGAGTGGAATAATAGAGTACTAATTACATATTAACAAAAAAAACCCATCAATCTAGTCTAGTTTTTTATGTTTTTTTATTTGGTAGATAAAATAATAAATTTATAACCTAATATGCTTGAACTAGATTATAATACCTCTTCTCTAAGCAGTGCTATAATTGATTCCATAGTACGGATAAGATGTATTATTCGTATATGTATTTAAAATAAATTTGTATATAATACAATATTTTTGACAATTAAATGTAGTATAAAATTAAATTAGAGAGCCTTATAATGTTATGACTAGAAAGTTTTAAAATGTTATGACAATCAAATGCAGCAGTCAAATCTCTCCCCTCCTGAAAAACAAACCCCCGCACCAAGTAATGGCACCATACATACCAATTCTTTTATACTCTATAGTTATGGAAAGTTTAAGTTTTTAGAATAGTGATAAATGTATATCACCTTACTTTCACCACCAGATGTGGTATGATTACACTCGTTCAATGTTTAATAAATTCAATGGCATTCATATAATCCAGTGGTGTTAGAATACGTTACTTATATTCAATTTTCACATGTAGGCTCTTGCCTACATCACAAGGTAGTCGCTCTTGCATAGATGTAGGCAAGTTAACGAAACGTGTAAAATTCTTATGTTCTTTCTTTTTAATCAATTATGTTTCTTTGATTGTTCATTGCACACACAAGCCACTACAAGTGGTCTATATTAAAGTCTAGTCAACTATATGATCCCTCTCTCTTTCTCATACACACACAATTCTATAAATACAAGCCACTGCACCAATTGATCACAACATATACCAATTTATTTCGCTTTCATTCTAATTCTTGGTTGTTGAGTTAGTCACCATCTCCCAATGGCCCCAAATGCGATAACACCACCCCTCAAACTCTCCTTATTATTGCTTCTAGCCATTTCTATAAGCACACAATCACAACCTCACCAGCTCAAAGAAACCAACATGACCCTATATTTCCAGGACGTCTCGGCAGGACCCAATGCCACCGCTGTCCCGATCACCGGCATCCCCGGCCACCTCTGGACATTTGCCAGCTTTGGAACTGTGTATTGCACTGACGATCCAATGACCGAAAGCATCGAACAGAGCTCGGCTCAAGTTGCGAGGGGCCAAGGCATCTATGTGACCTCGGCATTGGATGGTTCAACTACACATGTATTGATATCGATTGTATTCACCAACGCAAAATTCAATGGTAGCACCTTGGAAATACAGGGTGCTAGTCAACAATTTGAGAAAATGAGAGAGGTTGCTGTGGTTGGTGGAACCGGAAAATTCCGATATGCAAAGGGCTTTGCTACCCTTATGACGGTTTATTTGGATACCACAATTGCCTATGCTGTTATTCAATGTAATATTACTGTACAACATTACTAATAGACAACCAAGAGTCAGCCCCAATTGGTACGGGTAACCCTTAAAAGGTATATGACTTTGGGCTTGAAACTTCTAACACACAAATCCGATGTAATAATGTCCTTTCTATTCTTGAATAAATAAAGGGACACATTTATGCTTTACATATTCTTTTTTTTTTCCTTACAAAAATATTTTCCTAGTTTCGATTATAGTTATAGAAAATTATTTTTCGACATCATACTTATCTTTTTTAGCTTAATTACAAAGCGACTCATACAAAGTTTTATTAGTCAAAACAACAAATAACTCAAAACAAGATCTATGATGGAGATTTATTTTTCAACATGATTACGGAAAAGTAAAATATCGGATATTATATGTGTAAAAACCTCATATTAGATATAAAAAGAAATACATGTCCAAATAAATTAAGATTGAACTTAATTAGTACCCGTAAGTTTAAACTCTAGAGTTCCAAAGATGTATAATCGGGTCTCGTCTTATCGTTGGATCTCAAGGACGGAGCCATGAATTTTTTGTTAACGTGGAATCTCTTCAAGATACGATCACTTTGGACTCATCCTTGCGAAAGTAAATGTCGAATATTTGCAATCATTCATAAATCAAAAATAACAGTTAAGTTCGAGAGATACTAACGATAATTGAACTCTAACGTCTGAGACTATGATTCGTACAAGTCCAACCCTTTATGCGGTTTTACTACAAGTGGATATGTGTCACCACAAGTAATAAATTGGACTATAAAGATGTATTGTTCCCCCCCCCCCCCCTTTTCTCTCTCTCTAGCAGTGGTGGGGTTAAGCTACACCCCCAAGGTGATGTTACTGTCTCTTAATTGTAAATAGACTCGGTGATAAAAGATAGTCCAGTGTACGAGTTCCTGTCATTACACAGTTTCAAAAGAGTTAGTTTTATACAACTTTACTTAATATTGCTTATAAATAATACCAGTGCTATTTCTTCGGGGCTCATAAATTGGTGTTTAGACTTTATAGATCCTTATCAAAGACGTAATTATAGTGCAAGCAAATGGCCACATTGCCCATAGAAACTACGGTGAATAAGATAGTTTCATACGTCCCACCACAACCGTCCGATCCTCTGAAGGAGGAAATCCCAGATGTGCTATCATTTGCATATACCCCTACTAAATTCTGCAGCAGTGAATTTGGTAACTGAATTAGTGGTGTCCTCAATTGGCAAATACAAGGTAGATAGTTCATTCTTTTGGAAGGATATCTTACAGCGCAGGCCATACACAAAATGAGTTTTGTTTTATGGCTGGCTATCTTTTTTTTTTTTTGGGAGGAAAAGGGGGGGGGGGGG